GTCAATGACTAAAATAAAACGGTGCTGGTTTGAAGACATGAACTAATCAAATGATAGAGGACAGTATGTAACCATTTTCATTTATTTTTTTACAGGAATTGCCCCAATAACTGTTATAACTCATAGGGACAAACTGAATACTGAAGAAAATAAGAGAGACGCTTTTGACGAGGCATCAGCTGCTACCGGTAGCTCTCCTAGCCACACTTTCTTCATGTGGAACTACACCAAAGAAAACAAGAAACGTAACCCTGAGATAGAGCGCATGACATTTGACATCTTGCACTATGCTTTGATGACCGCTGAACGGGCTGTCAAGATCATGAAGCAACAAGAGAAAAACAAAAAAGAGGATGAGATGATAAAAGCTCTCGAGGGAGTTACTATCAGTGGACAAGTGGCACCTGATTCTGTTGACGGTAAGCTAATTAGAATGGTGCATGTTGCAACAAGACATTGAAAACGAAGGCCTCTGCAGTATGAGTCATCGATTCCGTGAATTCATATCAATTTAAAACCACGCTGAAAAGCACCAAATTGTCACTAGTGTAGGAGGAAACTGGTTTGAGAGGCGCTGAATGGTATGTGCCTCAGGTGCACGCTGGGGAAAACATTCGAGTAGAATTCAGAGGCAAGAATGATTTTTCATTATGCGTGGAATTCTTTTTCCTTTTATGAAAACTCGCTGCGCATTTTTGTACCACACTAACTTGCAGTGCAGGCGTCTCATTGGGGCGGGCTAACATTACAAGCTCGCGATCGTTTACCTGACCGGTCATGTTTGATTTAGAGTTAGAGTATACGGTGGGGGTAGGAGTGGGAGAAGGGCGAGAAGACTCGGTTATCTTCACTACCCCACCCCTACCCCTCTCCTTATTTTTGACCGTCGACTGCCCCTCTTGGTACAAATTTCTTTCTCTCGCCAGCCTTCCCCTGCCATTAAAATCAAAGATGGCGGCCATGATTTTCGTTAAGAAAATACTGAGCTTTCGCTCGCCAAAATTAAGCCTACTCTGCAGGCTAGTAACGCACTGGCATCATAACTCCTCCCACTTGGCACCGACTGGCCGCAAGAGCTAATTTTTCGTTGCTTTTCGTTGGGTGTCTTAGGTTTAATATCCACTTATTGTATCTTGCATTTTATTTGTTCTCTTTTTTCGGCCTCTGATTCACACTTTATTATCGTGTTACTAAAATTCTACAAAATAAACGAGCGTCTATGAATTTTAACAATATGTTCTCATCGACATTACAAATATTTTTTCCACAGCTTCCGTGGAAGTGTTTTTGCGTTTCCTCCAGAAGGAATACCAGTGGTCGACAAACAGTATCATGACAGCTTCGAGCAAGTTGGCCAAAGATGACATAACAAGTGTAAAGTTATTGGCCATGAGCTGGAGTGAAGTTCGACAGCACTTTCCAGCTGGGATGAGTAGAATGATCGAGAAGGAGCTCAGGAAACGAGGCATGATCTCATAAACAATTGGGTGGCGTCTGGACACGGACTCAAAGTACAGGAAACCGTAGTTTCTTGAGCAAATTTGACCAATTTTTTTCTAACGTTTAAGGGGCAGTTAATAGGCTAATGCTGAGCACATAGTTGTTTTTAAAAGACAACATTTCATTTCTGATGGTTAGGCTAATTAAAAATTATTAATCGAAACACTGTTAGAGTCATGAAAAAATATTTTGACTACAGGTCCATAGGTTTACTTGTTCCCT